AAGATGCAATGACTCAATCATTTTTTAAAGTATTGTTGCAGCAAAATGTATTTATTTATCTGGATGTGACTGATTACTTGAACATTTTAGATTTATTTTTCTCAGCGCTGTTCTGTACTGTTTTCTTTTGTCATTACCATGAAATGATTGACCAGTGTGATTTATTATTATAATTATTATTATTGTAATTACATAGCATCTATTGGTGTATGTTGTTTTCAATTTTTAGTTTAATTCAAGAAATAATTTTGTCATCATCAACACTTGTTATGAAGTGGTGTTTTAAAGCACACTGGCACCATAGTGTTAACATTGTCCTTCCAATAGATGACAGGTGGAATGTTGTGACATTAAAAACAGAGAATACCTGAGTTTCCCAAAGCATTAGTCACTAACTTGTTTTTTTTTACCAAGATCTATAAAAATATCTTTTTTTGTTGCAAATTATTTTTATGTCATTTTATGTTTAAAAGCCTCAAATGTTTTCGTCATCACTGTTTTGTGGTGACCTAAACTTCAAAAAGTAGATATTAAGATATTAATTAAAGCAATAAAGCCACAAATGTTTTGGGAAACTGGGTCAGTTTAGCCTCAACATTCTCATAATTCACTGTTTGAACATCTTGCCTTCAGGAAAGAATTGTAGAAATTTAGATGTAGAGAAAAGCCCTTTACATTCAAATTACCCCCTCCCGTGTAATTCAAATCATACCAGAGCATCATTGTTAGATGGGTCACAACATTGATATCCTTTCAGCAGAATGAAATAACTAGTAGGTAGGTTTTATCATTTACATGAATGTGGATTTTTGTGGAATCCCGATTATAACAAAAATTATTTTGTAGTTGCTGAAAATCATCTCAAGCTGTTGAGATGTCTCTGAAATGTTGACTCTAGCTGTTTTCCCTGAGACTAGATTCTGTCCACCCACTCTGCAGTCATCCTCAAACTCACAATATTTAAAAAGAAATTCTGATTGAGGTGAAAGGTGTCAGCTGTCAACATGTGAGAGACCAGTGGCCTTTAAGGTGGAGTTGACATGAAAACTGTTATATCCACAGGGTCTCACTCTAAATGGAAAATGCAAATGCAAATTCAGTTAATGAACACATGAAAAAAGAATCAGGGGATTTGGATATCCACATTTTTACTCTTAACAGAAATGAATGTAACTGGGTTGCTCAGGGTTGACTTGGAGCATGTTAAAAACTACTGGTCCATCAGATCTTTTATGTACAAGATGATGATGGATTAATAAATATTTTAGTTCCATTAAGGTGGGAGTTGTTGTGACAGACTTTTCTCCCTTATGTGCAACACCAATCTGCTAGTTGTAATTACTTGAAAAGTATCCTTGCAGCAAAATTGAGTAGATTCAGTACTATTTAAAGAATATGCTTAACAGTGTTGCTAATACTTTTGTTTAAGCTGTTTATAATGATGCCTAAAATACTTACCTGGCTACCTGAGATGAGTTAAAACCTCAACAGGTGATCATAAAACATCCTGAATTTTATGCCATCAATTCTAATAAAATGGAAGAAATTCGATTAATTTAATTATATTACGCTGTGTTTTACAGAGATAATCAAATAGACACTCAAACATGTAAATAAAACAATGGACAGTGTCAGTTTTGGTAGCCAAGTAACTTGTAACAACAGATGGTGCCTCTGATGACTTCTCTTTCTCTGCACAAACCAGGCCTGGACCAAATGACACACAGGACTATCACTTAGAGGGGACCGTTCACACTCAACAACCTTGCAATTTGAATAAGTACTTGATAAATACAATTAGTGTAAAAAAAAAAAAAAAAAGCAAAAGGCACTTAAAATGATTCTGGTGAACGATGAATGCTTGTATTTTCAGTTGAAGTTTCAGTTAACTTTTAGAGGTGAAAGTGAATTGGCCCCGATCCTGCAAAGATGGATTAATCGATTATCACCTTGACTCTTGTGCATTTTCATAACATTGTCACAATGCAAGATACCGTGGCTGTACAAATGAGTAAAGTAAAAATATATCTATATATATAAAAATATAAACTATTATGTATTTCAGGGAATGCAAAAAAGAAAACAGTAACTTGTCTCTTTTTTATAAGAGAGAGCTCCTGTATTCAAAATGTGCTTTGCTTCAATCTGTAAATAGTTGAATGGCTTATAAATCTTAATTGTAACCTTTTCAGGTATTTTTGTACAAATAAGGGACTGATATATTCTGTTTATTGTAATTAGAATAAAACATTAATACATTGATATAAAAACCTGTGTTTGTCTTCATTTAGGGAAACAGTTTCGAACTAAAGAATGTAACTGTATTAGATGTGTGTAATAGATTTGTTATACCATACTGTACGGGTATTGGTTGTCAACAGTTTTGTGTTTTCCAGATTCAAGTGTGTCTGAAAACAAATGTTCCAAATTCTGGTTTCTATCCTGGGTAAAATACAGATATTAAGATAAAATATAATAAATTCCTACTGAAAATCTACTGAAAGAGTTGCCCTTACATTCTCCACTAGATGGTGCAATAGCACAAGTTCAGGGGCAGATAAAATCTAACAGTATTTGAGTCACCGTAACTTATCATGGGAAACAATTTATTGACAACACATGGAACCAATAAATCCAGTAATACAACTATTATGTGAATGAATGCTCATGCAAGGAAATGGGTCCCACACTGCATTGGTCCTGCAGAGAAATTACCCTTTGCACCCTCCCTGGTCTGGTGTGTCATACCCTTTGGATTATCAGTCATGCAAAAGTAGTGAGGTTTTAGGTTTTGTTGTGGGTACAGAAAAAGATTAAAGATTAAAGTCTGAAGCTTTGCAGTCCACTGCCAGAGTAACTTTTAATTTCCTTTTACACAAACATCACGAAAAAACATTAGTTTGCTATATTTTCATTTTGTGTAGACGGTGGATGGAGAAAATGACAGGCCAATATGGTGGCAGTCTTTATATTTTGTTTCCATTGCTCTCTTCAGTATTTTGTTTTATTTTAGATTTCCTAGCTCTTGGTTTCTCTAATTCTCTAATTTATTGGGTTATGCGAACCTCTTTCTATAGTAATTATGTGTAATAATTGATGTTTGGTTTGATTTGATATATATAAGGGTGGCAAAAGGACGGCAGTAAGGTGCATTATTTCCTAGCTCAGTGAAGTCCTTGAACTCCAAACTTGACTTGATTATTGCAACTCCATGCAAAACTCTTCAAAGCATTGTCTAAAGAATTCACCAGCAACTTTTTATTAATATTACCTGGCCACGTACACACATGCATCCACAGATCATTTACTCATTGAACTGTGATTAGCAATGATAAACTTTTAGTTGAAAAGCTTATCATTGCTGAGCGTGAATAGATAAATAGATAGATAATAAGTGTTTATAAGGTCAATAGCAAGTATGAACTAGACATGTGGACATGGACAGAGGTTTTGCCAACTAAAAATTTAAACTACCAAAATCAGATGGAAATGGAAGACAAATTCAGTTTTATCATATAAAAACATTGCCACATTGTCAGCAACATTGATGAGCAAAAAGGTAACACCTGACAGTTTCCTGACAGTGTCATTCCAATGTCGTATGCAAATACATTTTCAAATAAATGTATTTATATATTTATATAATGTTTTATTGATCTGAGTATGACTTAAAGGCCATGGAATATATAGTATACAATATATACTAATACTGTTATGTTTTTCTTGGTCTAACCAGGTTATTTTAATGCTATTCATTTCTACCTGTGTACATGTACTGAGTGTGTGTGCGTGTGTGTGTGTGTGTGTGTGTGTTTATTAGAGGCACAGTAATCACAGCTTCAGGAACTCCTTGTGAATCAGTCTGTCTTGTACTGGCCGTGAGCCCCGTTCCCATTGGCTGGGCTTGCAGGGGTTGGTGGGGTGGGGGTGGTTAGTGGCAAGATAAAAGGAGCAAATGTCTCTTGTCCTGCTTACACACACAAACACACTCAACACATGCCTGTTCTTCTGTCCGTCTGTTTTTGGGCACTAAACAAGGGGAGAGGATCCACCATCTCAACACAACTGCTGAATCTCTCACCTGAAAATGTAAGTATACACACACACACACACACACACACAAACACACATCCATACAAACATGTCTAATCCTATTTGAGATAGGGATAAGGATAAGGGCTCTGCTTCTCAAGAAGGGAAAGGGACATGCAGATTGAAACACTTGTTGACTGATAAGGCACTATAGAGCAGGGGGCAATGTTCATGTTCTTGTTCCATTTGAATAGTCACCATGCCAGTCATTTTAATGGGAATATGTTTAAAGCCTTCTGTTCAATTCTGATTAATTTATTGTTGTAGGACTGCAGCAGGTGTATTATTTAATGTGCACTATGTTGTTTTAAACAGGCTTGTAAAACTGCCCTCTGGCACACTGTTTTATGAATGAGTTCATGATAACGGTCTATACGAAGAGATTTGTTTTAGACATGGAAATGCTTTTTACTACCTAGATTTTCTGTTCCCCTCAGTCCATAGAGTGAAAGTAAACTAAGCTATGATCAGACTGGCTTAATGTGTTGGTAAGAGGGTCAAGGGCTCATACACAAATTGCATACACAAATTGTGCAAGCTCATACAAACTGTGTCAAGGAGCATGGCTTTGTGTGCAGGCTTTGTATGTGTGTGTGTGTAATACTACCGTTACGTATATGAAAACAAAATTACACACACAAGCCATATGAATGGGAATGACTCTAAATTAAGATTGATATTGACAATATGCAACCAACTGTTATAAATGTGTCGTGAGGGAGGATTTAAATTAAATGCCTTATATTAAATGATAATATTAACATCATAAAGCTCATAAAAAGCTTTTACATTTGGCAATTTAGAGCTAAAATCATTCTAACAGTTAAATCTTTATCAGTTGTACCTTTCTTAAGTATGTTACATATTTTAGTTTGAGCTAACATTTTCCCAGTGTTCCTTATTTTTTCACAATATCAGTAAAAGAAATAAAAAAAAAAATTGGTTTAGAAAAAAGGATGGCTCAACTTCTAAATTGGCTCATTTCATGACATTTCCTTCATGAAGAAGAAATTATGCACTGCAGCTATACCTGAGATGTTTTAATGTGTATGACTGTGTGTATAAAGATTTGTTAATCTCACATAAATATGAAAAAGAATGTATGGTTGTCAGAATACAGTCAACAAGTTCACAAGTTCATTCAGGGTGAAGTCACAGATTATTTTATTATTGTTGACTCAGATGACCTCACTCATGATTAAGCCGGTTAACTCTACAATGATCGACTCATTCCTATCAATGAGTTAAACGATGCAACTTGAATACTGTGTCTGAATGTGTGTGTGTTTTTTAATTTGTCCACTGTTTGACTTGGCATTAAATTTTAATCTAAAAAAATTCACAATTAAAATTAAAATATCAACAGCATGGTGCTTGAGTTATTAATGTTTCTTTGCTGTATTCAAGTTGTACTATGGACGCAGCAGAGTTCCGGCGCAGAGGGAAAGAGATGGTGGACTTTGTGGCGGACTACCTGGAGAACATAGAACAGCGACCTGTCTACCCAGATTTGGAACCGGGGTATCTTCGTTCCTTGATCCCCACTGAGGCCCCACTAGAGCCTGAGAATTATGAGGATATTATAAAGGATGTGGAGAGGGTCATAATGCCAGGGGTGAGCTTATACTTTTGCTGGTGTTGAAGATGTACAGATTTTCTTGTTCCCTTCTGACATTCTAGATGGCTTTTCTTTTGGGAAATCATGTCAATTGAGTAATCTGATTACAGTAAACTGCAAAAATCAAACTTGGAAACATGCAAGTGTATGTCTGTATGCCATGGACATGCAGCACTGCATGAGTAAAGTATTACAGGAGGTTGTCAATGATCGACAGAAGCTCCTTTAAAACCAAATATCACCGTGTCTCTCCAACACCTCCATTACGTAGGTGGCAGTGTACAGTAGTCTCAATTGATGACTAACACTGGAAACCATGCAATGGGAATTCAACAGTTGTATTGTGTGTACAGATTTCCATTGCAACCACAAATTAAAGTGTATTATTTCACCTTTGAATGTCGTTGTGGCTAACGAACTGCCAGTCAGTGAAAATACCTTCTGTGGTTTTTGGCAGCAAACCACCTGTACTTCCAGCAACCTGTTGTGCCATGGAGTTAACTGGAAATGTATGTTAGCTAATAAGCCGTGGAAATAAAAAAAACAGTAGCATTGTTTACTATTACTAAAACTGTAATTCAGGAAACAATCATTTTCACTACCAATGAAGAATTAGGGCTGGTCTTGTTTTCACATCAATTAAGTGTTGCGTGTCTTTTTTCCAGGTCACCCACTGGCACAGCCCATATTTCTTTGCCTACTTTCCAGCTGCCTCCTCTTACCCTGCCATGTTGGCCGACATGCTGTGTGGAGCCATTGGCTGTATTGGATTCTCTTGGGTAACAAACACTTTGCTTTGTTTCTGTATCTGACTCAATATGTCTGTAAACTTTAGTTTATATTTATATGCAGAACGTTTGAGATTTTGTGTTTGTATTTTCTGTCTTCAGGCTGCCAGCCCTGCCTGTACAGAACTGGAGACAGTGATGTTAGACTGGCTGGGGAAGATGCTGCAACTGCCTGAACATTTTATAGCTGGGACTCACGGTCATGGAGGAGGTGTCATCCAGGTACACAAAAAGTGCTGGGTCATTTCTATAAGCACGTTGTTGGGTTGATTATGCTGGGTCATAATCTTTGAGTTATTTGAGGGACTGTACACACACTGTTTGGTTGCTAATTCTGGCTCAAAGGGGATGTAATGGGTTCATTTGCAGCTGAACAGCTGATTGGGTTACTTTGACCTAGCTGCTGGTTTATTCATTTTCCCGCTCTTCCTTCTTCTCTGGTTCCATCTCTTGCAGTCAGAGGTTTGCACAGCACACGGTGGGTAGGATTTTATGGCAAGTTATTTGAATGCTTTACCTGCAGTAAAAGCATGACTTAAACTCATTTCTCTATCCGGGATTATGGGGGTGGTTGTGGTTTTATTCTGTGACATTTATTAACTCACCTTGCTTTACTGTGCTACAGCACACTTTTATTTTGAAATATTAAGGTAATGTTAGCTAGGTAGCTTAAGTCATTGCAAAAACAGTTTTGTGAAATTCAAATTTACTTAATATGAAATTTCATTTTAGGTATGTGACTAGTTTGGTGACTGTTTTTTAAGAGAGAAGTTAACTGAATGACAGCTTGACAGACTCTGTGACAGGCCTATATGTGTAGAGGTAACTTTGAATAGTTTTTGTAATGATTTGAAAAACTTCATGCAAAACTAGCTATCCCCACCTTGGGTAAGACACCCAGTTTGTTCCTTAACCAGTGGGGATGCATACACCAATCAGCCATAATATTATGACCACCTGGGCATGCTGGTGGTCATAATATTATGCAGCTCCATATGTAACAAACTGTGATGCACTGTGTGTTCTGACACCTTTCTATCAGAACCAGCATGAACTTTTTCAGCAATTT